GAAGAGGAGAAGAAAGACTGCAAAGAGCAGAATCTGCCAGAAGAAGGAAAATCTTTGGAGCCTAAAGATCAGAAAAACAAGGAACGAAATGAGCAGAGGGAAGGGCTCAAACTGGAGGCTCCATTGTCAGCTTTCAGGTCAGAGATATCTTCTGTTCCCAGGCATAATGTGGACTTGTGTGGTTTGCAGAATGTTTTTTTGGCTGAGCAAACAGGATCAGCATTTCTTCCTGGGGAACCTGTCTCTGTGGATCAGCATCCTGATGAGGATGTACTGCTGAAAGCTCATGTCACAGAAGCAGGTTCTGGATGTCAGCCACCCATTGTCAGCCCTCTGTCCTCAAATAACCTGAACCCAGTGGGTGAAACTCCAGTGGTGCCTCCACACACATGCCATATCTCTGACCAGGCAGAAGACCTGGAAGACTCTGGCCGCTTTTCCATCGGTGGTCGGGATATTGGAGAAGCTGACTGGGATGACAGGACAAGACTGGGCAGGGAGGATGAGCACAGTGATGGGCATGGAAGTGCCGTCCAGAGGTTTGATAAAAGAGATGCATCACTCCATGGAGGAGTGGCAGCACCTTCTAGCGCAGAGAACCCAGAGGTTTCTGTTCCACCACACCCTTCCTCTGGTACCAAGAACTTGGAGCCACCCGATCCCATAGATCCTCATCCCATTACAGAAAATTTGGGAAAAGCTGAGCTTCAGGACTTCATTCCAGGTTTACCCTCAGAGCTCACCTCTGTGGCTTCAACGTCTGGCCCACAGCAAGAGGGTGCCAGTGGAACAGCCTCTGTGACCCCTGAGGACTGTCCTGGTGCCAATCTGAACAAAGTGCTAGACTCTGTAGAGAAGCCAGCCAACCGAGCTGCTTCTGTACAAGTGCGGGACCCAATATCAGGGGAAACTGGTATTGTAAGTACTGATCCAGGGGAGGCCAACACTTCCCATGAACTCCTTACTTCTGAGAAAGGCTTTCGTGAAGACCTTAGTGGCCCATCTTCTTTCTCTGTAATATACACGAGCTGCCTTCCTCTAGAGGGGAGCCTTCCTGAGGATAGGAGGACTGTGGCTATCATTGCAGGGCCTCTGGAACCACCCCAACTACCAGGCAGGACTTCCACTCCCCTGAACAACCCAGAGACAATTCAGCAAAAACCCCCAGAAAAAAGTGCCGTTATCCAAGGAAAAGAAATGGGAGCAAACGCGGATCATGAAGCACAACAAATGCCTTTACTTGATCAGTCTGACTGCAGTTTAAACCAAAAAGAGCCTGGATCCAGAATCTCCAGTGTCCTGAGCACCCTAACTTGGCCCTCTGAAGAAGATATGGTCCTTGCCATGAACCAGCAAGAACAATCTCTGTCCCCTGTGTCCCACTCAAGCCTACCTCTGGTGTCTGAGCCTGATGCCAAACAGCTTCCTCATCCTCCTTCCCATGTCCAAAGCCCCAGTCAAGCTCAGGGCCCTGCACTTAATGCAAATCACCTTGCTCAACCTCCAGCCCTTGAAAGTTACCAGTCGCTGGCTCCTGTACCCTACTCCAGGCCACATCTCAACTGTGGTATGGATGATAATAAGTTACTAGCCATTCACCCTACTATAAGCCATCCTCTCCAGACTGCCGCCTCTGTGTCTGATTCTAACACTGTGGCCTCTGCTTCTGATGGAGAAGATGTAGCAGAGAAAGATGACCTTGTTCCAGTGACTAGAGAGTGGGATCTTGGTGATTTAGGTACCCATGATACAGAGACTTCTGATGACTCAGGGGTCAGTTTGTTGGCCAAAAGCTTTTCTGCTGTTGGAAATGAAGCATTGGCTGGCTGCTCTGGCACCAGCCCTGAAACAGCGGACCAGCACATGGATATACAGTGTGGAAAATCCTCACCTGACCACCCTTCTTGGCCCTCGCTCAAAGGCCTGATAACATCCACAGAGTCCAAGAGCAGAGACTCTGCACAGCCACTTCCAATGCTAGCATTCACCAATCCAATCCACTTCTTCCAGCTCAGCCCTCCATCACCACCAACCACGAGAACGACCTGCCAAGAGGAGGAGGTCTTGGGGGAGCTGCGATGGGAGCAACAGGCAGGCATCTTTGGTGTGGACACAAAGGACATCCAAGCTCCATTGGCAATCACAGAGAAAACAGAAGGTGAGAGGAGGGTCAAGCAAAGGCTGGAAGGAGGAGGAGAACACCACTTGGTAGCTCAGCCAAAGGAGGAAATGCCCAGACATTCACCCTTGGAAAAATCATCAAGTTGGCCAGGCAAAAAAACGATCAGGGTAGTTGCACAGGAGCCAGCAGCCAATCAAGAAAACCCAATTAAACGCCGAGTAAAAAGCAAGGACTGGCACCGTCAGGGCCTGAAAAGGATATCAGTACCACCAGATGTCTTGCAGGGTGAGTCCTCTCCTCCATTTCCCTCCCCCTACCCCGCAAACTTATTGCAGATACGAAAAACGGAGGATTAAATTAAATAGGCAATGTGATAGAGAGGCATGAGAGCTGACTGCTCGGCATTGCTATTGTGCCTTTCTGGCAATACTCTTCACCAGCCCTGTAGCCCCCTTGCTGTCCTGCCCCAGGCTCCCTTCTCCCAGGTCTTCCCTAGCTCCTCTCTGCTGCCCTGTAACCAGTGCATCCTGCTCGTTCTCTTGAGTAGGGCTGCACTCTGGGGCTCAGTCCCCTCATTTCACACGAACATCTGCAACAGAGAGCTTATCTCACTTGACGGATCCCTCGCCCCCTGACTTTTCAGCCAGTTTCTCTTCTTGTCCCTTCTCCACGTTTAATGATCTGTCACCCTTACTCGGTAACACGGGCAATTTTGGCCTACCTGCAGGAATGAGTTTCTTGGTGGGGCTCAGTTCAGAGCTTCCGCTCATCATCTCTGCTGCCACCACACGGCCGTTGCATTTTGCTGCACTTTTAGCAGCCCGTTTCCAAGCAGTAAGGAAAACGCATGCACACGCCCTCGGTAGCCCGTATCTGTTACCACATGTTTTAGTTCCTTGTTTATTTGCTACCTCCCTTTATTTTGCAGCTGACACCTTTAGGTTCCAATTTGACCTCCTGAAAGAGATGATCGTCCTGAGAACACAGGATTTGAGATTACAGATAAGAATGCAAATCTGTCAAATTCAAGGTCCCAGCTTGCATAGAAGCCAAATCACTGCTGTCACAAATGGAAAACATGCATCTTCAGTAATGCAGCTCATTCAGACAGTACTTACTGTCAAGATGCATGTCTGTTCTTTATTATATCTTACATGATCTTTAAACATACTTGCTTCTTCTCAGCTCTTACTTATTTTATTTTCCAAGCTCCACAACATGCTGGATTTTTGGCACAGAGGAAAAGGAGAGGAGCATGGAGGGATGTAAAAGGTTGGCAGCACTTGAATCAAGATTTGTTCATGTGTTTGACCTTGTAAATTCTTGGTTCCAAATTTTAAAACATTCAAGGCAACAGTACTGTCTTTCCCCTGACCCATACTTGCAGCTCAGTCTTCGGGCTTTCTTCCTCCTCCTGCTTCCAATGAATTTTATATAGAATTTCTTCACACCTTATTTAATTAAATCCCACACAAAACAAAAGAAAAATCCACACTTTCCCCATTTTTCATAAACAGAAGATGATTCAAGCAGCAGTTTGTGAATGCTCACATAGTATATAAATGTGAAATTGGATTACAGCATTCATTCTCAGGCCGCGTCCCTTCTAAGACTCTTCACAGGAGTGACTTTGTTAGATGTCCAGCATTTCTGCCCCAGAAGTCACTGAGAGTTTTTTGGGGCTCAACGTCCACAAAATAAAGTCTAAGACTTTGAGACATGACTAGTGACTTTGGGTCCGTTGATCCTCCGATGCCTGGCCCAAGTTGCTGAAAGGGGAAAGGCAGCACCAAACAGGGCCCACGTGCAGTGTCTTCACTTGGGCAACTGGAGAGGGAAGCTCTTAGAGTTACTGTGATCGCTGAAAGTGTCAGCCTTGTTCTTTGTTTGAAAAGCAAATGTGGCTAAGTAACAGATGTAAAGTGTAAGTAATGTCAAGGATTATTAAAACCAGAATGTTTCTGACCCAGAAATAAAGGTCAGGAGGGCACCTGTACTCCAACCCAAGACCACCACTTAGGTGGGGTATAGGTAAGTGGCATCTGTGTATCATTTGGATTGTAGCTTCACTCTAAAAACAGACTTATGTGTTTACTTTCTAATTGTCTTATATGCAGAAATTCCTTTTGTTCCTTCAGAGGAAGAAGCTCACAAGGCACACAGGGAACCACCAGTCAGCTCAGAAACAGTTATATTGCGGTAAGTCTCTCAAAGGCCCCTTAGAATTTGCCTCCATCCCTGTGTAGCACAGACACCTAATGCTCTCCATTGTTCCTGAGGAACCAAAGATGATGTTAAGGAGTAGAAAACTATAATAAAATTACTTAGGCCTGTGTTTCAGTCTATGCACTCTGGGAGGGGACCCCCTGGCAACAGAAGTATTTCTGTCCCTTTAGGAGAGTGTTTCTATTAAGCCAAGCTTTGTTCTTTGTTAAGTAAAGCATGTGAAGCATGTGGAGCTTGAGCTTGTTGGAAAGAGAGGTCCTTGCTGTGACAGATCTGTTACTAAGATTTGGATAAGCCATCTCTGGCACTGTGCTCTTCATTCACTCTTTGTTTCCAAAACCTTATTCCATGACAGAGAGAAGAAACCTGCAGACCCAACGGAGAACTTCAAACGCCGGCATTCCAGACTGATCAACTCCTGTAAGTACCTTCTGCCTGAAGTGCTGTGGCAGACCCCTCTCCTCCATCATCTCTCACCCTTGCAGTGAGCACAAAGGAGAGGGGCTTCTGCCACATGGTAGCAAGGAGGGAGCGTTAGAGAGCGGTGTTCAGTGGAGGCAGTGAAACCAGAGTCCTGCAGTACACTCAGGCAGCTGGTGAGCTTTGCTTATAAGCAGGTGCGTGTGGTCTAATGTATTCAGTTATCCTAATCTGAGACAGTAACAAAGTTTTCTCCAGATTGAAGCAGAGGGTGAGTACCTGCTATAGAAACTATAAATGTATGTGCCTCTCTTCACAGCAAGATTGCTGTATCAGGAGTACAGTGATGTGGTTCTGAACAAGGCCATTCAAAGCCAGAAGAGAGTGGATTCTTTCGCAGAGGATATAGAGTCGAGTTTCCCAAGCTCCCCAAGGCTACGGAGGAAAGTGTTGTCTCCCCAGGACTCGTATTTCCAACGTCTGTCAGTCTCATCTAATGCGTCCCTCTGGCAGGACATCCCCATGATACGGGGCAGCAGAATACTACTCAATATGTCCCGTGATGAGCAGAAGCTGCAAGAGGTAATGGACAGATGTAACAAGGTAGATGGGTGGTCTGTAGTCAAGAAGGAGTCCCCAGAAGGGTGATTAAAGTGGAGAGCAAAAATTCTGATGTGGGAATGCAGGTGGTTGAATGCAGAGGTCACCTCTACCCATGTAAGCAGTATGGGGATGTGGTACCAGTGTTTGTGAAGTAGTACAGTGCTGAAGTTCAGAATTGTAGAGAAAAAGAGCACTGACTCTTTCTCTATAAAGGACAGACTCTGGACCATACCAGTAACTTCGTGAAAACAGACATGGGGAAATTGGAATGAGATAAAACAAGGAATTTTGAGCATGTTCAGTGCAAAAGAGAATATTAAAGTAGAAGACTTCCAGCATTCTCCCACACGTAAGCTTATGAGAGATGCTAATAAAACCACAGTGAATTGTAGTTTCTGTGGTAGAGTGTGAATTTACCAAATTCACCTGTGTGAGCTGCAGGGCTGAGAGGAAACAGGAAGACGTATGGGTTCAGCAAAATGGTACATAGAGAAACTGGGTAAGGAAAATGAGACGAACTGAGAAGTGGATGGGAGGACCCAGAGAAAGAGGAGAAAACAACAGCATGGGAAACATGATGAAGGAGAAAAGCGTGGGTGATGTGGATGCTGGAAAATTTGTGGGAGCAGTGAAAGTAGAGTTGAGGGGGGGGATAAAAAGTAAAATGAGAGCAGGTAGCTATTTTTCTTTTAAGTCATACCACAAGTCTGTCTTCTAAAGAAAGAAAGACTATATATAACGGCATGCTTGCCCTTCATTCCTAAAGCCTCTCTTCTGTAATTACGCACTACTTACATCATGTACTGGGAGGTTTTCCTGCTTTTCCCCTGTCTCCTTTCCATAAAATTCCTCACAGACTTGCATAGTCTACTGATGCTGTGCTCCCTTATTTCATCTCTTAAGGCCAAGTTTGAGTTGATAATGTCTGAGGCTTCATACCTGCGCAGTTTAAATGTGGCAGTGGATCACTTCCAGCGATCAGCAGAGCTCCAGGCAATGCTCACCAATCAAGAGCGTCAGTGGCTTTTCTCCCGCCTTCATGATGTACGCGATGTCAGCGCCAGGTGAGATATGGCCCTTTGCTTCCAGGATTAATGCCCTCCATGACGCACAGACACAGCCCATCATTTCCATCAATAACATCTCCCACTCCTGTTCTGCGTGTTCACTGACCTTCAAAGTAGATACACACACGTAGCACTTTGTGATTGCATACCAACACTGCCCTGAAAGGAGCATTCGCCTTTTTAGGTGACAGGGCAATATAAATCTTGGTGTTAAGTCCCACATACTATGGCGCAGTTGTGCATAGAGCTCATTGCAGGAGAGCAAAATGTTCAAAATGCTACTGTAGCCATGTGCTGTTGGCTTCAACTACAACTAAACATGACTAACTAGACCTCAGCCCAAACCAAGTGCAGCTCCTGCCAAATACAAGATGAACGAGGCAGCTGCACAAGCCCTGACCAAAAAAAAAACCCAACAAAGAAAAAAATAAAAAAGGGGGGGGGGAGGTAAGTTACAGCCGTCACTTGACAGAACCTAATGTAAATCAGTTGAGCATAAGTCATAAAATGTAGACATGACCCCACATGCAAGGAATCCTGTATGTTGTAGGATTCTGTTCTGCTTTTCTCCTGTAAGGCTTGGCTATGTATATCGCTAAGCTAGTAAGGTTTGCTGCTACCTTTTCCATTTCTACTAGTGGGATTATTCTGGTGATGTCTTAATTTTCAGTTGTTTCCTGACCATGCCCTTACAAGTACAACCTCTCAAGAACAGAAGTCTTTTGCCTCTGCTTCTTGCTTGGTGATATCTAGCCCTAAATTGTTGTACAGGCATTACGCTCTCTCTAGAAGTAAAGAGCTGTCTTGTGCTTATATGTGGGCTGTCAGGATTTTAGAGGACTGAGGATGTTCCTGCTTTACTAAATGACACTGGTGTTTCCCTCTCCTTTTATGGCACCGCAACCATGTGCTGCAGTTTCCTCTTTGACTTGGAGGAGAAATTTGAGGAGGACATGTTCACCTTCCATGTGTGCGATGTGGCTCTGAAACATGCCCCCGAGTTTCGCAGGGTGTATCTACCATATGTAACAAACCAGACATATCAGGAACAAACCTTCCAGCGGTTACTGTAAGTTTTCTCATTTGTTGCACCCTTCTCCCCTCCTTACTTCCTTGCTGCACCTTGAATATTCACTCTTTCAAACGGTGGGGAATGCTGCAGGTACAGGCTGTTGGGCAGTGCTCTCACTACACCCCCAGAAGAACAGGCAGGAACCTTCTTCAATTCAACGGCATTTGGGACAGCAGGACAGAGCTGCTGCAGGCTCTTCTCCCATAGCATTGGAAAGGGAAAGAATAATTAATACCTGATTCTGTTGCAGGCTATTCTCTCTGTCTACCCTCTACTGAAGAGACCAAAAATGACTGTCCTGGATAATGGTTTTCAGTCTGTGGTTTTCAGACTACTAAGAACTGGAAAGTGGTAATTTCAAGTGAAACTTCCAACCTCAACCATTCTGTGATTCTGTAATTAAGAAAAATATGGCTGCTGTCAGTAAGCTTAAACTGGCTATCCAGGAGTCTTTAAAATGGATTGAAAATCCTGGGGCCAGAGAACACTGTCGGTCTCTCTTGCTCTGGGTAGTGGAGTGGAACATCTCTTGCCCTCCTCTTCTGTACCCAATGGCACAACCAAGCATTAATCAGGCACGGGCCCAGTCCTGAGCAAGGTTTCCTTGCCACTTCTGCACTGCTTCCCTTCGTAACAACCCAGTTCCACTGAAGCTACAGTGATTCCAGGAGAAGACGTTGTTCCCAACAGGCTACTCAGGCACTGTCTCTGGGTGCTGCTGACTGGGAGAGATCTAGTCTCGCAATTGATTCCCTTCAGGGAAGGTTCAGTTCCACACAGAAGGGACCTCCAGGATATTGTCTAGGGCAACATTTACTGGGCCTACAACCTCCTTCCCCATCTCTTCAAGGATACGGGATTGGCTATTCTGGTGGCAGGTGCCACTCTCATACCATTAGCCTTTTATCTGCTACTGCCCAGTGTGGAAAACTGGATGGCAGTGGCTGTGTCTAAGAGGGTAAGAGAGACATTAGGGGAGGAAGGCAGCTCCTCTCAGGAGTAGCAAGAGAGGGGAGGCAGCTGTTTCCAGACCCTGAACACAGCCCCTGGAGCTGGACCATTCAGTGTAAGGGAAGAATACAAACCACCACTGTCTCTGTGAAAGGTGCCCTACTGATAGAGGGGAATTGAAATGTAGATGTTACTTCTGGCTTTTATTCCAGAGGGCTGTGGCAGAAAGAGGAAAGACGTAACAGTTGTACTGCTGTCCTGTAGCTGTTAGAAACCCATACTTGTTCTTCCTCAGCAGAGTGGCGCAGTTTCTTGACATCTCTTGCCCCAGGGACAAAACCTGACTGTTGGGAGTACTCCAGCATTCACTGAAAGACTATTTATTTGCTCTGATGCCTGGTTGTCTTCTTCCTTTACCACTCCCACAGAAATGGAAATGCAGGGTTCCAGCAAGTCCTGGAGAGACTGGAAAGTGATCCGGTATGCCAGCGCCTCTCACTTAAATCCTTCCTCATCCTCCCTTTCCAGCGCATCACTCGACTCAAACTCCTCCTACAGGTAACTGTGTTGATTCTCTGCTTTCCTACAGTTTCTCTCAAGCTGATCCTTCTTCAAGTCTGAAAGTCATATAAATATGAGCTAGCTCCAAGCACTGCATGGAAGGACTGCATACAGCCCTTTGTGCTGGCATCTGTGACAAGTTTGGCAAGATGCTCTAAAGCCACTCTGTTGCATATATTGTGAATATGCCTTTGCAAAAACAAACCCGTTTGTCATCATAGAAATGCCTGCTGTGCATTAGACCAGCACCATGAGTGGGATGTGATAGCCTGTGTGAGGCAATGCAGTTTGTATACTGGTTAGGACTTTGTAGCCACACTACGTCAGTTGTACTCCAATAAATAATTTATGGACTCTTCTTAGAACATGTTGATTTACATTTTATTGAACTTTTTTGGCTTCCTGCTAGGAAAACAAAGCAAGGGTTCCTTGGCTGCCCTCTGGAAGGTAACATTGACTAATAGGAGCCTTCCAGACAGGGAACCAGCAAGTCCCTAATGAATTAATTTTGAGCTCTTTCTATGAAATTCTTCTTTTTGATTGAGTTTTTTTTTAACAGGAGAAAAGGAGTATCAGGCAAAGAACAATTCTGTGCGTAAGGCTGTTTGTGCTTGGATTAGTGGTTGCTTCCTATGCCATGTAACTTGTACGTGATCGTTAATACGATTTAGATTTTCAGGGATGCCTTGTTCAATGCAGCTTATCAGTGACATTCTGCATCTCAAATTTCTGGCCTTGTTATCTCCACATCTCATCACTTACCGCCTAGTTTCCCTCGAGGCTGGCACCTTGGTGTCTCCTTGTTTCTCCTACCCCTTCCAGATATGTATGTCCAGCTTTCCCTGTTTGCATCATGAAAAACATCCTTTCTCACGCAGAATATCCTGAAGAGAACTCGGCCTGGGTCTGAGGAGGAAGTGCAAGCAACACAGGCCTATGATGCACTTGAAAAGGTAAGGCTGTCAACCTGTTCTGCAGCCCTGCAGAAAGGGATCTGGGGGTTTTGGTTGACAGTACCCTCAACATGAGTCAACAATGTGCCCTGGCAGCCAAAAGGGCCAACTGTATCCTGGGGTGGGTGCATTAAACACAGTATAGCTAACTGGTTGAAAGAAGTGATTGTCCCACTATACTCAGCATTGGTGTGGCCTCACCTTGAGTACTGTGTGCAGTTTTGGGCTCCACAGTATAAGAAGGATATAAAAATATTAGAATGTATCCGAAGGAGGGCAACAAAGGTGGTGAAAGGGCTAGAGGGCAAGACTTAAGAGGAGCGGCTGAGGATACTCAGTTTGTTCAGCTTAGAGGAGACTGAGGGGTGACCTCATTGCTGTCTACAACTTCCTCATGAGGGGGAGCAGAGAGGGAGGTGCTGATCTCTTCTCCCTGGATGCAAGAGAATGGCTTAAAGCTGTGTTGGGGGAAGTTCAGATTGGATATTAGGAAAAAGTTCTTCACTGAGAGGGTGGTCAAGCAGCGGAACAAACTCCCCAGGAAAGTGGTCATGGCCCCAAGCCTGACGGTGCTCAAGAAGTGTTTGGGCAACACTCTTAGCTATATGGTTTAACTTCTAGTTTGCCCTGTGTGGAGTCAGGAGTTGGACTCGATGATCCTCGTGGGTCCCTCCCAACTCAGGCTATTCTGTGACTCTCCACAGCCATGTTGCATCACACAGCTGCAGGGCACCGAAGTGGCCCAGTTCTTTTGCATTGATCCTCACCCTTGTTGAGGGCCCTTGTCATTGATCCTCACAAGTAACAAATGAGTGTGTTCATGTGACTCTTGCATGTGCAGTGGTAGCTGTGAGCAGAAAACACTAAAGCAGAAGCAAGCTGGGATGCTATGGAACCTGCACCAATGATATTGAACTACTTTTTTCAGGACTCGCTCTTTCCAGTCTCCTAACCACCATTCCCACTTTGTGTTCCTCCTTACCTTTGTCTCTAGTGATCAACTCCCACCCTAGTCCCTGCAAGAAAATTTTGCTTTTAAAAAAAAAAAAAGCATGGCAAGACATTACTCTATTGCATCCCTTCCTCTATTCTATTTATTACAGATAAAAGTCTTCTGGGACAACTTGTTATCTAAAATTTGTACAGGAGCATAAGGTAGACCTGTTCCTAGCTAGGTTCTTATCCTGTCTAGTCATGTTTTGCCCTTCTTGGAGTGTCACTCCCTTCCTTACAATCTCTCCCCTGTTATCCACCACAAACCTAAAGACCAGTTCAACACGATGCGTACCTCCTTAAAGCTCTTGGGACTCCACCTGTGTGCTGCACAGCTCCCAAAGCACTGCAGTCTGAGGTGGGTGGGCAAGATGTCATACACTGAAATCCTTAGATTCAGCTGTGTTCAAGCCAGCATTATCTCTGTGACACTGTTACGCAGCTGCCCTGCATCACCTCAGGTGGCTAGGTAGGCAGCTTACAGGCTGAAGTAGCTCTGTTTCATTGTGTCCTGTCCTCACAAGTACTGGCAACAAGCTCTGGGTTGTGGAAAATTGGTGCTGATGTTTGTCTAATCAGCCTCCTGTGTTTACAGTGGAGCATCGAATAAGAGCCGCTTCCAAATGACCAGCAATTCAACCTTTGTCACCTGAGAGAGATGTCTCTAGTATTCCGCCCAGTATCCCAAAGTTAAAAACAATACTTATCACAGAGACTTCATCTAACCAATACCTTCCTTAAGAAAGAAGGATGATCGTTGTAGGTATGGAGAAGTTTAGTATGCTCGCCTGGAAAACCACTTTTTTTGCAGAAGGTTGCCTAAGGAATTGTCACCTATACTGACTCTTGAGGCGCTCCTGGGAGTAGTACTGATCCCACCAGGCAGTTCTGCTCCCACCTCACTGATCGTCTGTTTTGCTCTGCAGCTTATCAAGGATTGCAATGAAAATGTCCAGCGCATGAAGAGCACTGAAGAGCTGATCTACCTCAGCCAGAAGATAGAATTTGAGTGCAAGGTGAGCTCGTCCATTCCCTGGGCCTTGCTCTAGCCGAATGTATTTTCTCTCTTTCCTCACAAAGTCACTTGCACTTACTTTTTGTTCTCCTCTCCAATATACACAGAACTGTTGAACCAGAATATCATACACAGGTCAGCTCTTCATCAGTGCTTCCCTTGCCCAATTGTTTGTGTCAGCCTTCAGCTGAAGGTGCCTACCATGACTTACGCCTGTCCAGCTGGAGAGGTGAAAGCACACTTCCTCTAGAGAAAGGCGACATCCAAAACTCATGGATACCGATTTCCTTGTACGCTCTTGACATAAATGTTTATTTCTGTCTTGCAGATATTCCCACTCATCTCACAGTCGAGGCGACTTGTGAAGTGTGGTGAGTTGACAGCACTGGACTTCAGCACCCTGAGTCCAAAATGGAAAGTCACCACCCGTCCCATCTACCTGCATCTTTTCAATGACTGTCTGCTCCTGTCTCGGCCGAAGGAGTGAGTGCTTCAACACAATTCTTGCTGCCCCTTCTAAAATACCTCTCTCTTTCTGGGTCTGTGCTTTGGTGAAAGAGTCCTTTCCCTCTGCCTGCCAGCAAGTGGCAGCATTTGTCAAGTCACTCTCCTAACCCTACATTATGTGAGTATCATGCAAGTACGTGGAATCTGATATTCCCAACTCTTAATTACAACATGTGATAATATAACAAGGTATCTTCTGGTCCCTAGTGCAACACTTCTGTTCTGCCTCTCCATCTTTATAATGTGAAACACTAATAACCATTTATTGTAGTTTTACTTGGTAAATAATTTCTTCCTAAAGGACAGTATGAAGATTAGTGAATGTGCAAATCACTGGTTTGTGAAGAAACTAAGAGTTGTTGGTTGGTTGTGTTGGGGATGTGAGGGGGGGGTGGTGGTTTTGTTTTTAAGCTGTAAGCTATCAAATAAAATTTTGACAGGACAGAGCTTAGTATTTGTACCCTTTTCATTAAGTCCCTCCTCTCTTTTCTGGCCTTCTGAGACTTCTAGCAAGAACAAAGCTTAAGGTGCCTGAAGCAGATGAAGACTCATTAAAAGCTTTTTGCTTTCCTGACATCCGAAAACAATGTGGACTTGCTTTGTAACCCGCATCACCTTAAAAATCACAACTTGTTTTGTTCCTCCTCTTTACCTGCAGGGGCGGACGTTTTGTTGTGTTTGATCATGCCGCTTTCTCAGATGTGCGTGGGGAGAAGTGCGAGATGAAACTGCATGGAACAAACAAAAATGTTTTCCGTCTCTTTCTACTTCCGAATTACCAGGGACAGAGAGTGGAGTTTTTGTTTCGTACAGAGACACAGTAAGAGCTCAAGGTTACCCTCAGTATATCCCGTTACCACAGCCAGACACCTCCTAGGAGCCTGATGGTTGTCCCTCAGCTACCCAAATGCTGAAATACCAAATGCAGCTGCTGAGCAGAGGACTTGAAAAACATCCTCTTGCCCCTAATGAACCACCTTGCTCCTCTCTCATCATAGCTGCTCATACGATACTACCACGCTATGTCATACCATCAGTCTCCAAAAATGGGAGGTTTTGCCTTTTCCCATCCCCTTTCTCCACTTCCACTTTCTCTGCTTCCCCTAAGTACCCCCCTCCCTGACCCCTCCTGTGAGCAAACCTGTACACACACACACCCATTCCTATCATCAGACTGCTATCCCTCACACTGAACCCTGACACCTATCTGGTGATGTTTTCCAGCAGTGAGAAGCTGAGGTGGATCTCTGCTTTGGCTCCTCCACGAGGAGAACTGGACCTCCTGGAATGCCCTGGTGAGACTGCTCTGCTACTACAGCAATAGGGGTGGTCTGGCTCAGAGGAGTTGGAGGCACTGTGAGGCGGAACATCCCAGAAAACACTCCAAGGCAGAATACTTGCCTTTTTGTAAATAAAGCAGCTATTCATGGGCTTTCCCTCAGTGCCAGGTTCTGCCAGTTATTTTACCTATTTTTACTCCTCATATTAGGTAGAAGACCTGTAGCCTCCCTTCCAGTTCTTTGCTTTTTAGTGTTTGGGCAATCCCTTATCCCCTACTTCCTCTGGGGCTGATGCACACAGGTTTACTGTTGCTTTCTAGTATACCATTATGATCTTTCCTCCCCTTTAGATGCACCGCAGGTTCAATGCATAAAGACTTACAAGGCTCGGGAAAATGATGAGCTGGCTTTAGAGAAAGCAGATATCATCATGGTTATGCAGTACAGCAATGACGGTGAGCAGAATGAACAATGGCTATCTTAAATTATGGGTAGGAAGTCACTCTAGTAGTGTAATGCTTTAACAACACAATCAGGCTTCAGAAGGAGCCTCTCATTCCCAATTGTTGGATTGAGAGGATGAAGAGACTCCTCATCTTCATTAAGACACTTCATTTGGAAGCTGAAAGGGGATCTTTTTATTTGATCTTAGGGCCTTGTTGGAGGGGGCTTTTTGGGAAGAATGAAAAAATCTTTGACTATTTTGCCTCATGTTGTACTTTTCCCCACACCGCAGGATGGATAGAAGGAGTAAAACTTTCAGACCGGGAGAGAGGCTGGTTCCCCTCAGAACATGTGGAACTCATCTCCAGCAAACATGCGCGGCAGAAGAACCTGAAGGAGGAACAACGTGTGAAGAATGCCAAGCAGCAGGTCTTCTGCAAGAAATAGGACTCGACTCTATTTGGACCTGTACAGTCTCCCTGCCATGGGGAAACCCATCTTTTTTTCTTTTGTTCCTCAGAAGAAACGCCTCTGCGAAGAGCATAATACAGCACTTTGACAGAACCAGGTGCTTTTTGCCAAAGAAAGTGGGAATTCAATCAGGAAAAATCATTCACTTCCTCTGTGTCACCAGGACTACGGCAGCAGTAGGAGGAAAAAAAGTTGCATGTATTGCTTGCTTTGTGGTAGTAGGGAGGGACTTTAATTGGACAGAGGTCTGGGATCTGGACTTCTGAAAATATATTCCTGGTTTTGCCACTGACAAGTTGCAGGACCTTGGGCAAGTCACTTCAGAATTCTGCCTCAGTTTTCCCATCTGTGAAATGGGGGTAAACTTACCTACCTCACTGGATGTTGTGAGGCTAAATTCACTAGTATTAGCATACTAAGAGCTTTGAGTTCCTGAGAAGGAAGGTGCTAAGTGCAAAGCACAGTATAATTGAGGAGAGTTTTCCATTTGAATATTCTCTTGATATCTTGATGGTATTGATCTCCATAGTGTAATTCCCATTTAGAACAATTTATCTATTTGATCATGCAAGCCAAATATTTCATTGTACCTAAATTTAACTCAGTCTCAGCATACTGTTAAGAGTCCTTGACAGCATTAGAAAATCCACTTGAGCTAAGCAAAGTTTTCAGAAGCCACTGTGATGATTTCCCTCACCTTAAGAGGTATCAAGCTGAAGAATCTGTTTCACAAAGGTCACCTCTCTTCTGAACAAGTGTCCCAGTAAGCTATCTGAAATAACCGTTTTTTTTTACTCTGCCTCCCACTTAAAGTAGAACAGTGACTTTGGACAAAGATTTTTATTACGTGTTGGTACTTGCCCTGTACAAATTAACCATGACTAGGTATATGCAATGAAGTGGCACTGTCCTGCTGCTCTTAATCTGATAGCTGACGTGGTATTGCATGCACCATTTTGCACACTTACAGAAAACACTGAGATATTTAGCCACTGTAGATAAAGTCAAAATATGTACCAGGGACTTTGTTCTTTTTTAGAACTCTCTGGTTTTAAGTCCAGTTTACATGCAGTCCTGCTTTTGTGCAGAACCTGTCTATTTGAGGACATACCTTCAACTGTAAAATACTGTTTCTGTGTTAAAGTGTTTGCGTTCAGTTCAGTCAATGCAAGATCAAGTATAAGAATCAATACACCAAAGAAAGAAACGTGTAGCCTTCTTGCATTTAATATATTTGAAGAATTGGTTATCTTCATATCTCCAGCCTTCTGTCCCTGTAACATTCTGCCTTTAATTCCCATTTACATTGTATCTAGTATAGCTTATGACAGCCTATTTATATCAATAATTTTAGCTGGATTAAAAAAAAAAAGTTGCTTTTAGTCCTAATAAACTCATGCACTTCTCCAGTTAAAATAAACAACTTTCTGCTTTCCTTGTTACTTAGGTTTTCATCTAAAATATAAGTAATTCAATATTTACTGAATATATATTCAGTATTTTCATTATTTTTTCCATATAACTCTCCTTTCTAAGTGAATATTAAGTACAAATAGCTGTACGTAGCAGAGGCAGCGAGGAAAGCTTGCTTTATCAGCCATACCCTAAGATTCTTCAGAGCGTTATCACCAGCCCTGAAGTGACTGCTGCTGCAGGTTCCATAGTGGTGTTAGTCATCAGTATATCGAGGTAAGCTAAAGGGATGACCTACAGAAGATGGGAGTCCAGTCCACTACGCCAGGCAGACAAGATGCAATTATTCAATTGTCTTTTAATCTATGGTCCAGACTACACAATCTGCCTACACTTTTTTTCTCCAAAAGAACTGAAGCTGGTCCCTAGCTAGGAACAAAAGCAAAGCCCTACCTCCAAGTAAAATAAGTGACGTAAGAAGAGTTATAATGCTCAGCAAGACCCATGAATGTTCAGAGATCCAAAATACCTGCTTGTCCCAGGCTGTCATGAATTTATGGAATACAGAAGTCATCAGGATCACCAGTGTCTCAACTGGGATACAGAACACTGCCATGAGATCAATTCAGTACGTGCCCATGTGAGGTTGTCTCACGCAGGCAGTCCGAGGCATCCTATATCCATGTCAGCTTCAACTTTGCTACTTCCATCATGAGGAGGCAGGCCATAGATACTGCCATTCTAAATCAGGAGGCATCTTGTTAAACGTTTTAAAAGTCAAGAATTCTTTACTCTTTCAACTTCTGCTCTCAAAAACAAGCAGGCATATTGTTCATTAGAGTCTCCCAAGGTGGTTTCTGTGTTAAATTCTATATGTTCTTGTTAAAATTCTTGTTGAGATAGGAAACGTCAAGGCCACTGTTGTTGTCCTAACAGGACTTCTATACTGTTTAACTAGTCAGATCAAAGGTTAACTTCTCCCTGTCACAGGTACAGCCTTTATTTCCTGTTGTCAGGTTTTTGTATGTTTAGGAACATTTAAAGGTCAGCTTACGCTTCTAAGAATGAGTGCTTGTACCCTGGTTTTGATAGGCCTCAACTTCAATTTAGTTAAATTTTTAGCCCCAGCACCATCCCGCCACCAAAATCTATAAGCAAATCTGCACTGAATTGCTTCATGCTTTTTGAAACTGATTAACATCTCCTTGGTTTGTACAAACTTAATCAAACTAGTACAATATCCCTTACAACTGCACGTTCAGGAGGCAGGAATCAAGTTGACGGAGTATCTGCTGCATCCTATTACAGTCTTAATTATGAGTCAGGATCTCTCCCTACATTATCGAATACGTATAACCCGATTTCCCCAGAAAATCAGTATTAAACAGAAGTGTAGAGTTTGTTAGCCAAATCCCTATACTCTTCTAGTAAGATCCCCAAAGAAGGCCCACAGAATAGGAACACTGTATGAGAGATGCCAGTGTATCTTACAACAGCTGGCTGTAAATTGAAGCATGAAGAAACCATTGTCTTCCACAGGAACCTGTGGAGACTGATACATAGTGTATCTGGACAAAGAAATTCAGTATTTCTATACTGAAAAAAAAAACAAAAGACAACCTTTAGAGGGCAGTTACACTCATTTCTTTTTGTGGTAAGAACAGCAATGAAATACAAGCATGGACTACATTTAAAAAGTTTTGTTAAGAATCTGAGAAATTCGTGGTTTATGTCTGAAAGTCAATGTTATGACTACAGTCATTTTTTCATATAAAAAAGTATAAAATATATGTAAGTATGTATGTGGCTCTGGAAAAAAAAAAAAACAAACCCAGCTCACAGCCCTGGAGACCTATGTTTAGGTCTCCTAAAGGAGGATAAATGAAAGCATTCTCCACAGTTCTTATTCCCTTTCACAATACTAGAAAAAGCTGACGTTAGGACCAGATTTTAGTAAACAAACACAATCTTGCTCAGAAACAGGAACCTCTAAAACAGTGATTTTTATCTTTGCACTTTTATCTAGTATTGAAGAGGTCCCATCCCCTCTAAGATCAGAGTTGTATTTTGTCAGCTGAATGCTGCTAACAAATGAAATGCTGTTTGAGCAGCAATAACACTCCAGCCAGCATGTCTTGCATTTGGTGGCTGAACCAAGTGCATTGTTAGACTAATTATACTGTCTCCAAAATGCTGGCACACACGTTTCAGGTTGCACTCATTTAACACAATGAAACTACTCTCAGGTGAAAGCATCTGCAGAAGCAGGACCTTCTATGCTAGAGCGAACCTTGAAACAAAGAGAGGGCGTATGGGGAAATGCACAGTAGGAGAACGGTGCCCTGCCAGCAATGAGATACTGAGCCAATAACTAAGATGAGGATGAAGGATGTGCTGTCTTGGTGCTGCAGAACGCAATTAAGCAAATCACATTCTTAAGCAAGCATTGTCTTTGCTGTTTGCAGACACGCCAAGTTGTGTTTACAGCTGGCTGCACTTCAGTTGGTGGTTAGGAAAGCTGTACGCAGAGGACACAAGAGCAGAGGGTTGGGTTTCTGGAACCATCGTGACCTAAGTTGCACAGGTCTCTCCATCAACTGCATGTGAGAAGAAGTTGGAAAAGCCAGGTTTGGTTCACTCCTGCCCTTCAGCTCGTGTAGACACCTGCAAGCGGACAAAGCTGGTTTAAATGTTACCTGAGCAGATGACACCACTTGTAGTAGTGTGAGATCACTAGTTGCCTGGTACCACTGTTAGGAGCCTTGGTTTTTTTCTAAAAATTGTTGAGTAAAGAATGAATCTGTCTTCCTGCCAGCCCACAAGGAAAGATAATGAGGTTCATCTCATTCATATCACACAATCCAATTTTGTAACATCTGGGTTTCCAAGGCGTGCTATTAGCAACATTTAAGCCTGCTCCTCACGGGAACTCATGAAGCACTGTCTTCCAGGTGCCCCAAGATGTGCCAGAACCACTTCTGTACCCTACGTTCGGGGACCAGCTTTCTCCCCCCGCGGCGACCGGCTCTCTGGCCCCCCACACCCAGGCTGCGAGGGAGGACAGGCGCCTTCCCGCACGGCGGCTCGCGGAAGATGGCTCCCCCCCCCCCGGG